GGTCTGAATTCCAAAATCCACATGTGGCTTAAACCCTTGGAAAAAAAAAAAACAGGTTCTGCTGGGCGTTGCAGTTTCTCCTCCCAGTAGAGGAACCATTTGTCTTCTTAACCAGCCGCATGCACCTTCATTAAAATCGCTTGTTCAAGTGTCAGGCCCATTACTTCAGAACAGCTGTTTTTGTGTAAAAAGAAAGATGGGTCTCGGTGTCCTCTGTGGAACTGACTGAAATAAAGACGAGTCAGTGATGTAACTCGCAAAAGGAATGCTGAAATAGAAGCTAAAATGAAAAACTTCATTGTGGATAAGATTCAGGCTACAACCTTGATTACATACATTAGAAGAATTTGGTTTTGCCGTATTTTAAAGGCGAATAAATTCAGCTAGGAAAACATTTCTACAAAATTGGAATTTATCAAACTCTGTAATCAGTTCATGAAAACTGCTCTGTTGTGGCATTAACAGTTCTCAAAAGACATTAGTTGTGCAGTATGAATGGCAGACAATAGCTGCAGTAAGTTCTTTAAATAACTTTGTTAGCTGAAGATTGTAAGTTGAGGTTTGTTAGCTTGGTCTCTAAATGTCCAGAGCATTACTGTCATGGAGTTCTTGTATTCCCAGTTTGTTACTGAGTTCTACTTTAAGGCGTAAATGTGTCAAGCTCGCTGTTTACAGCATCGGGGCATCTTTTACTAACGAGAAAAGAGGCATGTGCCTGTTTTCTTTGCTTGCTGTTTAGTCATGGTAATTTCACTACTTTTAATTTTCTGTGCAGTGTGGGATTAATGTCTAGTTGTGAGAAAAGATCACTTACATCTTTTGCTGGATCATCAGAGTGGGCTCCTGTGTTTTACTGGGCTTAAAACTCCCTAAACTCGAAATCGCTTTTTAGACCTTCCAAGAAGCACAGAACTAAATCTTGCAAAGAGTTCTTTGTCAGTTTCCTTTGTCTTCTACGGAAATACGCTGACATTTCTGTTCTTAACCCGTTGAGGTCTCTGTCAAGAGCAACATTCAACACTTGTAAAAACAAAGCCACAATCATAATAAATGGTCTCGTCCAGAGTTTGAACTTGTTGAACCTTTTCATTTGAATTCCGTAATGTACAATTTGGGTGCCTCTTGTTCCCATCACATCTGTATTCTTAGTTCATAATCTTAAACAGATCTTTTTTTTTTTTACCCTCACTGTGAAGTCTAAGCTGTTCTCTGTGGGTCCCCCGCTCAGACATTCCAGCTGCAGTTTCAGGAGACTCCACGCCTGTGAGAGGCTCTACATTTTGGAATACATCTCAGAATCTCAGTCGCTGCCGAGGATGTGGATGAATAGCTCCTTTTACTACAAAGGGCTCGGCAGAGCTCCGGAAGAGCAGGACTGCTTCGGCACACTTGACCTCAGCAGCCAGGAATGACAAACATGCCAAGTGGCTGCCAGTTAATAGTGGCTTCACCCTGCGAGACTGAAGGAAATTAGGTGGGGTTGTAAGGTCTGGCGACAAAATTGTAACCCCTGGAGCGGAAGTTGCCTCACACAGTGTTCCAGGGGAGGGTCTGGTCGCTCCGGCGAAGCCAGTCTTTGATGAATGGGCAGGCTACAGTTCCAGGCCGGCTTTGTTTTAATCCTCTTTTCTGAGGACTTGCTCTCTTTCACATCTGCTCTGATGGCAATGCAGGTTAGTTTTTACCTTATAGTTAGTATCAGCTGCCACTTTTGAAGCCCCACAGAAATACCACGCGTTCATTACATAGCTTTTCAGAGTTCGGAGAGGGACAAGATAGGAACCTCTGGTTCAGACTGCGTTTCAATGTCATCTGTAGGCGTATGTTTTTAGCATAACGTCCCGTAGAATTTTCAGTCTTTATCACCTCTTGTTTTGATATTAACCTCTGGCGTTTATAAGGTCCCTGTTTGGTGGACTTCTTCCAACAAATCTCCAGTATTTTGTTAACAAATGAAATGGCAAAATATCAGTGCAGGTTGACAGATGTGCAGTCCAGTCAAATTAAGAAAGCTACCTCCGCTGCCGTCTTACAGTCTTACTCTTATCTCTGCAAAGCCCTTTGGCACTCCTGCGATTCTGGCTCTTTCTAGCGATATTGATTTGCCAGGTAATCTCCTGTAGCTTTAAAATGTGTTCCTAAAGAAAGCTGCTTCTACTTCATTATCAGAACAGCACGTTTCTGACTAAGAAGCATACAGCACAAGAGCAGACTAGGGAAGTGGACAGCGTGGACGAGATGCACCAGGGCTTGAGCTGGAGTCCTTCGTTTGGCGAACTTTCACACTCGATGGCCTGTTCCAAACGCGTGCTGGTGCAGGGTTTTTTTCCCCACCATTTTCCCTGGATGTTCTCCGGATTGGCCTGCTGCTGTTGGTGTGCGTTCCGCTCTAGAAGAAGCTGCAGAAGAAGCTAAAAGCTGCAGCTCACCGGTGGTCTGCTGTCGGCACTCATCGTAGGAGCCGCCGACAGTGGAAATTTCCACAGACGCACTTCAGAAAGAGCGAGAGATCCGTGCTTTGAACTTGAGTAACCTCTGCAGCCTGGCTCTGGTGGCTTTTACAGCTCTCCACAGCGATGTGGTGGGGACAGTCATTTAAACCAGAAGGGCTAGAACAACCGGTGCTCTGGTAGTTCCTGTGCACTCGATCCAGCTGTTTTAGTCGCAGGGGTGGATGTGTGGAGTCTGGAGATGTAAAGTTTTTGCTGCTTCTCATGTTTTTGATTACACTGAGATAAGAGTGGGCAGGGCTCCACAACATGAAAAGAAATGGAATTTTGGAAATTTGACATTTTTGGTGCAGTTTTTTCTTACTATAATGAAAACTGGTTGTCAGTTTGTTTTTTGTTCCTTTTCTTAAGCCTAGCTCATAACAAGGAAAATGTGTGTTCGGAAAAGTGTATAGAGAAAACATCAGTTGATAGCTAACCCAAAAGATAGTTACAAAATATCGGGAGTAGACCGAGCCGTTTGTTCAATAATAAAAAGTAATAATAGCCCCCACTCGTAAATAACTTTTGCCAGAATATACCCGAGATGTTGGTGCAGTTAGACGTGTGTGAATTCTTTCTCTGGCAAACCTTTGGTGTAAAGAGTAATAATTTGAGCATACTTGATGAAAGAAATATTTATTAACAATGACAGTGACACACATTACACAACACAAAACATAAACATACACCACACATGTTGCTACGTTTACAGTATGTACACATAAAGCGTTTCAGGGGCCTAATGTCCTAACCACCCAGAAAACCCCAAACTGGTACAGTGTATTCAGTTTTTAAATAATCCTGCAGAAGCCCAAAATAAGAGATAAGCTACGGTCTAAATAAAACAGAATGCAATAAAACCTGCAGCTAAATCATTCTCTCTCCAAACCCAGATGCCTTAAAACAAATAAGAGCCTATCTCCCTATTTTTAAAAAGCACCCCTAAGCAGGAAAGGCCAAAATAAGATATTATTGACTGTGGAGATCAAAGTTCCCTTAAATACAGAATAGAAAGCTCTCTCTAGCAATGTTCAAATATTTACTTCCAATCGGATTTTGTCTGGATGATCAAGAAGTAGGGACTCTGCTTGCGCCTTCAAGTTCCTTTTCCTCCTCCTCTCTCTATCGTGGTCTCTCCTTTCTCTTCTTTTTCTCTTCTTCCCCCTTTTAACCTCCCGATCTGTTCTTGTGTGTTGTGTTTCTGGACTGTTGAAAGACATTTAATCATTTACCCAGAACTTAATTAACTAAGGTAAACCAAGGCAAACTTGATGATTGCTTTGATCACAGACTCTACCCCCTACATCTCAGCAAACCTTCCCTCTGCCAGTTGTTACACACTTCAGACTCTTAGAGGCACCTCCTTGGCACCTATAGCTGTTACAATAGTTTGAGAGATTTTTTATTGTATTAGAATTTGATCTGGGAAAACCATTGAAGTATGCAGGTATTAACCCTGGTCCCATTGTGTTCAAATACAAATGATGCATACGCTTTTTCAAAATCAGTGTTTTCAATCGAAACTTGAATGTGTGAATTTAGCACTTGATTAAAATCTGTTGATGTCATAGGCAGTCACTCCCTTTTCGTCAAACCTTCACGTCGTTCAGGAACACACATTACTTTGACAAGTCATACAGTGGAATTGCTCCTACAGACTTTCTGCAGAAAGTCAGGCACAGAGGTTTTCATAAGAACATTCAGCAGTTCCAAACAGGAGGAGGCCACTCACACCAACTTTCTCATTTGGTAGCTCGTAGCTAATGGATCTTGGGTAAAGAAGTGACTTCAGTTCAGGTTTAAATGCACTTCCACCTGTCCTGTGGTCTGAGTTTTTTCTGTTTAGTTTTTTCCCAGTTGTGTGGGTTTTGATGCATTAAACCATAGACACTGTGGTAAGCCTCCGACCTCTGTGTGCGTCTACAATGGGAGAAGCAGCAAGAAACCCCCCTAAAAAACTCAAAACACTCCTTCAGCTTCTGCCCCCCCATCCCAAAAGGTTCATGCTGAATTTGAGGAACTGTCTGTAAAGGATGTAAGCGCTTTGTGTCAGTCCTAAAAATAGCTTGTGAACAGGCTTCGCAGAATCTAAATCCTTTCACCCAAAACAAAGTTATAATCGTGACATTTTCGAAGGGGATAAACAGGAAATACTGTGGGCTGCGGTTTTAACATGTCAATTAAGATATCCTCTGAGTGTTTAATGTGCAGTGTGCCGATGTTACTGTCAGGGTAGATCAAACTGTTCCACCTGTTTCTGTTGACATACCTTTATTCTTAAAACAACCTAAAAGACAGTTACTGCCATTTTTGCTTTTATTTTGTGTGATCGTGCTATGAGGTTTTCGTTTCAGTCACAGCATAGTAACAGCAGGTTAGAGTCTTCACCCTTCGCTGCTGTTTTTCTTCTTTGCTTTGGTTCGTGGTGTATTTGGAGACCTCATTCCTCAAAGGGGCTCTGGTGGTAGTGCCCTGTTGCTCTAACACGACCTTGTTTGTTTCTTCCAGAAGGACGAAGTGTATCTGAACCTGGTCCTGGATTACGTTCCTGAAACAGTGTACAGAGTCGCCAGACATTACAGCCGAGCCAAACAGACACTCCCGATGATCTATGTGAAGGTAAAGTTGGGTTTTGTTCTGTACTGGCACTGTAACAAATCTAACTGGAAGTGCTGTTATATTTTCAGTACTACCACGATAGTCCTCTGGTTGTTTCTTTGGATGCAAAGGTTTAAGACATGGAGTGAGCTGATGGGCGATGTATGGAAAGTTGGAGGGACGGGATCTCTTGACACTTAGGTAGAAAAGTCACTGGACAGCTTCCCGCAGTGGATGGGGTTTGGCATAAGAACCCTCTGAATTTGCATTCGCTCCGAGGCATGTCATTTCTAAGGAGCATCAGTAGGGCAGCAGTGAGGAGCAGGATTCTGGACTAGTAACTTGAAGGTTGTGGGTTCAAATAGTGCTTTACCCTTGTGCTGACCTGTTCCAGTAAAACACTCAGCTGTATAAATGGGTCAAAATGTAAGTCATTTTGGTTAAATCTGGGTAAAAGCCAGCCAAATAAATTTGCAAGTTAGCGTATCACCCGTCCTGAAACAGCTCACCTCCAGTTATCTTAGAAAGTTTTTTTTTTTAAGATCACTTTATTGGCAATATGCAGTTTCCTGAATTTGTCTTTTCGCATACCCCAGCTTGCTCTCCATGAGACACAGATAGGGAGAGAAGCTTGGGGTCAGAGCGCAGGGTCAGCCATTTATACGGCGCCCCCGGAGCAGGTGGGGTTAAGGGCCTTGCTCAGGGGCCCAACGGAGTAGGATTCCTCTGCTGGCCACGGGACTTGAACTGGCAACCTTCCAGCCACAGGCACAGATCCTTAGCCACAGAGCCACTGCACTGCCCCCTTGAGTGCTGGGAATACCCTATTATAACCTAACAAGTTCCCAAGTAAATTAGCGAGACATTAACGGACATCTCTGCATGGGAACTTGACATCTGGGCTTAGAGTGTGGCAAATGGCAGCATCCAGTAGTGTGAGCTATTATTTTTAATGACATTTAGGATATAAACTCTGTCAAAGATGAGAGAATTGACACAATCTTTGCTATCTATGTGATTTTACAGGGTATTAGGAAAAATTGTAAGGAGATGTGAATGGTTCTCTGAATACCAAATAGATATATTCACTTTTTCTTTTTCCAAATTATTGGTCTTTGCGATATTATTATTATTATTATTTTTAAGCATTAAAAGCATTTAAAAGTGGCCAAATTAGCATACTTAGCTGGGTTGCTTCATCGCAGCTTAAGCTCAGGACTGTAATTCGATGCTTTTCTCTCTTCAGGTGTGCGTGTTCTTTGCTTATGAGCAGACTTCCTGTGTGAGATTAACCTGGAGCAGGATTGACCTCAGATTTGTAGTCATGCAGTATTGAGGGAGTTTGGCTGCCGCCAGCATTTCAGGAGGTCTAAGTGCTGGGTTCCTGTCCAAAACATTAGCTGGAATTTGTTAGTTGTTATCTTCCCTGCCAGGCAGTAGCACTGCTCCAGTGTCATAAAACCATGCGTCTCTTAATGGCTGAATGCCAGACAATTCTACAGCAGAATGACTGCGCTAGGTTTTAACATTGCCCATTTCCATTTATCCTTATCTGGAATTCTTCCTTATCTACTTGTTTACCGTTTGTGTTCATGTGGACATTTGTATTTGTAAATGTGTGCACGCTTGGCCATGTTAGGACCGATGTTTGCATGCATTGAGTTTAAAAAAGTCAAAAGTGGACTTTCCAGTTTGTCAACCTATAAGATGGTAAGCAGACTGTGGGCAATCACCAGCCTGTGCACAAGAACTGCAGATTCAGTCTTTATCCTTTGATCAAATACATTTTAACATGGAAATGTTTTGCATAGTTCACATAGAGCAGCAGGATTCTGTCAGCAAGTGAAACACGTCAGTGCTGCAGAGGAGAAGCCCATTGTGCGTATTGTACCCAGCTGAAAAACCAAGCATGTTGAGAATGTGTCACTGGAGACAGCTCGTATTATTTTTCAACTCTGGACAACCTTCAGGCTGTATCACTCTTAAATTCTGTGTCCCACGATTCCACTGTTTCCCAGAAGTGGAGTTTAAAGGGCAGGTTGACTGTAGGATAACAAACTGAAAGAGCACTGCACACTGAGCAAGCCTGTTTTCCGGGCAGTAAGCACAGTTATGGCTTTGTGGTCATATTAAATGATTGTACCAATAGCTACGCTTCCTTTTTAGTCGCTTATTTCCTTTAATTTTTTTTTATCCCAGATATAGTCTTTGCTTTAGACCCTGACTTTGGGTATGGGTGTAAAATGCAGTTTTAAGGCGAACATTGCAACAAATTGCGTGGTGAAATACAAAAACATAGAGGTTAACAAGTGCGCCATGCTTACATCTAAATTAAGCTAAGCTACCCGGTTTGTGAAGATGGAGAGACTCCGGCCTGCACCCTCTGCTTGGAAAGCCACTGAATGGCACATTTTGGATTAAATGAAGTAAAAAGTAAAAATGAACTGGTTAAGAGCCGTGCAGTGTGCAAGCTGTGTCATACCAAGATAAAATATTTCGGGAACGCAACGAACACGCGAAATCGCATTTCACCTTTCCATTCGGAGTTGGAGGAAAAACGGCCTGTTCTTGTTGCTGCCGAACAGAGAGCCCTCGAGCAAGTGTCAAAGCTTCCACATAGTTCGGAAAGGGCCAGGCTAACCACCAGGTCTGTCGCAAGGTTCATCGCAAAAGACTTGCGCCCCTACGCCGTAGTTGGAAACCCAGGCTTTTGCTTAATGTTGCAGACACTGGAGCTGAGGTACGGCATACCGTCTCAGCTCGTTTCCATTTGTTACTATATTGAGTCAATGAAAGACAATGGAAGTAAATCCAGCCGAGTGTTTTGCATTTTCTCCGTTTCAAAAGCAGCAAGTAGTCACGCAGTAAGAAAAAAAACTCATCTTGTAGAGAAAAACACATTTAGATGCATCGAGAATCGATTTATAATCGCATTGTGGCACCCTGAATCGAAATCGAATCATGAGGTGCCTAGAGATTCCCACCCCTAGTGGATGGGTGTGATTTGTACTCATCATATGCTTAGGTATCTGGGTCAATAGGTTGCCTGGCCATGTGGATTGTCGTGCTCCGGATCCACAGAATGTTTATAGCCAAGAACGGCTTATATTCCAATCCAGAGAATGGTCTTGCTTTGTACTCTCTTCTTCTAGACTAGGGTCTGGTTTGATACAGTCCAAACCATGTATTAGCAGCCTCTAATATTGTGTTATTAAAGTGTGACAGGAATGGAGGTTCCCCAAGTGGAATCTTGCAGTAGTGATGCCCCTGCTCCACTCCAGAGAGAGAGAAACAGAGCTCTCTTGGTGCTGCAGGTAGGGATATAGGGGTGTAACCCCGGCGTCCTGGCCAAATTTCCCATTGTCCCTTACCAATCATGGCCTCCTAATAATCCCCCTCTATGAATTGGCTTCATTACTCTGCTCTCCTCCCCACTGATAGCGGATGTGTGGTGAGCGTTCTGGCGCATTATGGCTGCTGTCGCATCATCCAGGCTGTGCTGCACATTGGTGGTGGTGGAGGGGATCCCCATTACCTGTAAAGAGCTTTGAGTGGAGTGTCCAGAAAAGTGCTATATAAGTGTAAGCAATTATCAATTATTATTATTGTAGTGTGAAGTTGCTATGAATGCTCAGGGATCATTTATTCACCATCCCTACTTTCCCAGCAGTGTTCACAACTGACAGGAGCCCCCCGAAATCTGCTCAACCCAGTACAACTGTGTGGAATGGCCGAACAGTGGGAACGTGTGAAGGATCTCTTCCTCTTGTCTGTGGTAACAGCTGATGAAATAGCTGTGTGCTGTGGAAGACTGATAAACCCCACTGTTATTTACCAGGAGCTGACCGGCTGCCTTGCCAGTGCTCCCCTGCACTAAGCCTGGGGCACCAGCCACAGACTGGCAGTGTCAGACTCTCTGGGCCATGAGCTGTCAGGCTGGCGGCCTCCTCTCGAGCAGCACACGGGATAGGGAACCGCAGAGCTCAAGTGGAGGCCTGGAGGCTCTGCGTTCACTCTCGTTCGTGTTGGGCCTCGACCCAAATCGGCACCTGCGACACTCGGACCCTTTTCATGATGTCCCAGGTGAACAGAAAAAAAAAGTCTTTAAAATATCTGTGGGCCTCTCTAAGGTTAACCAGTCTCTCGGCGTGAAGGGATGAAGTCACTTCTCACTTTGTTCAATGACATGAGCTCCCCGTTTTCAGAGCTGCGGCAGTTCCTGAGAAGCAGCGGATTTCTCACCCTTCTTGTGTTTTTTTTCTGCCTCTAGTTATGGTGAGTAAGGTGCAGAACTGTTGGTGGTGATGTCCCTAGTGAGGAGAAGCAGAGAGAAGTAATATCCTTATGTCAGAAAGTGCAGTTGTTGAATTAGTTAGTCAAGGCTGGAAAGAGGTTGGTAATAATAATAATTGCTTACACTTATATAGCGGTTTTCTGGACACTCCACTCAAAAGTGCTTTACAGGTAATGGGGACTCCCCTACACCAGCCCCACCTGGATGATGAAACGGCAGCCCTAGTGCGCCAGAACGCTCATCACACATCAGCTATCAGTGGGGAGGAGAGGAGAGTAATGAAGCTAATTCATAGAGGGGGATTATTAGGAGGCCATGATTGGTAAGGGCCAATGGGAAATTTGGCCAGGACGCCAGGGTAACACCCCTACTCTTTTCGAGAAACGCCCTGGGATTTTTAATGACCACAGAGAGTCAGGACCTCGGTTTTGCATCTCCTCCGAGGGACGGCCCCTGTTTACAGTATAGTGTCCCCGTCACTATACTGGGGCATTAGGACCTACACAGACCAAAGGGTGAGCGCCCCCTGCTGGCCCCACTAACACCTCTTCCAGCAGCAACCTTAGTTTTTCCCAGGATCCAGGTACTGACCAGGCTCACACCTGCTGAGGTTCATTGGGTTGCCAGTTGTGAGTTGCAGGGTGATATGGCTGCTTGCTGGTAGGCAATAAGGTGTGCATGGTAGTAGTCTACTGTGAGGGAAATTGAGAAACATCCAGAGAAAATAAGGGCAGTGTTGAAGTTAGAGCTCCTATTAAGTGATTAAATATCATATGTGAATTTTCATGATCTTATATTAACTTTTTAGATCTTAAATGATCATCATTTAGTTACTTTATGTAGGTTGATTATTGTTTTACGTACAGTGTTATTTCCTTTCCTTGTGTTAATTATGGGTAGTGAACAGGTCACCTGTTTTTCCCCATTAACTCTTTTTGTGTATTTTGCGGCTTTTTTGCGGCTTGCGTACGTCTTCAAGAATGTAACCTTGGGATGGGATGGGTGATGTTTTTACTTTATGTAAAATATGCACACCTATAATATCTGCCTTAACCCTCTATATTTATATCAGACTCTTCGTTTTCCACAAAAACAAGTTAACAGACTTGTTAACAGCACTGTCCTAAGACAGGAGACAGATTCTGTGTTTTTTTTAAACCTTGTTAAAATCCCACCTGTGCCACACCCTACCATTCACATCGGTTGCCTTGGCAACACTTAAAGGGTTCTTAAAATAAAGGTGGTGCTGATGAGTTTTTTAAAGGGTCACCATTCATTTCCCTCTCTGTCTTCTGCTCTCGATACCTCCACCTGTAATATTTTATCAGGCTGCCATTGGCGGGCTTTTTTTATTTAGCATGTCAGCCAGGCGTAGAGTTCCTCGACCGCCTCAGTTTGGTCGCCCTGACGTGATTCCGCGGGAGGAAGCAGCTTATAAACATGTCAAGACTGTGGCGGCTGCTTTGTGTACTTCTGGTCTTCCTGTTTCCTACAAGGGGAAGCTATGTGAACAAAGGAAGGCTGGAACAAAGCTGTGAGTCCGCTTTTTAGTTCGCTTTGGGTTTCAAGGACCACATGCGATTTGCTCCTCCTGCGATCTCATTCATTTTTTCTCTTTGTGGCGCTGTGGAGAGTTTGGACAGTTTAGGCTGTATTTCCATTGTTACTCTTTAAATATCATGACCCTAAGGAAACCTGTGAACAATTAATTACATTTTATGTGGAATAATAGAAGTTGGGGAGGAGAGAACAATCTCAGACGTAGGATATGGTGACAATGTGAAAATTAAAGATCTTGCAAACATGCAGTTCAACTGCTAATGCTACTTCTAAAAGTTCTCAGGAGCTGTACAGTGAATCACTAAACGAAACTACAGTTGACGGATCAATTATGTCTCGTCAGAGCTGCCTCCCTTCTGGCAGGTATCCTCTTCTCACATCTTGGGTGTCATTGCTATTAAATTAACACAATAATAAAGTGTTAGTGAAATCTATCCCTCCTGTATGTAATTGCACAGCTGTGATACTATTAAGGCCTCATACCTTGCTGCAGCATTTGCAAGTCAATCAACGATAGCCTGGAATACCTTTATCTAGGTGACTCTAGCTTTTATCTACTTTATATGGCGATAGCACATGGACCCCTCATACTGGAAAGCAGTACGAAGGTAATATAGGATTCTTTCAAAAGGCTCTGTGAATCTATAACAAGCTACCAGCCATGTTCTGGAAGCCAATATCCTTGCTTCTCTGACCCATGACCCTCTGTGTCAAAGAGTGCTCCCCTGTTCTCCATTGTAAATTTACATCATCTTAGTTTCCAAGCGTCCTGCTGTTTCACTGTTCATCTTGAGTTGACTTTTGAGGATTGTGGAGGGTTTTTCCAAGGACTTCAACAAGCACCACTTATTTTAATCAAATGTCCAGATGATTTTGTTGAATAGAAGCCTGTCACTTTGTCGTTTCAGTTGTACATGTACCAGCTGTTCCGGAGTTTAGCGTATATCCATTCCTTTGGGATCTGCCATCGGGACATCAAACCACAGAACCTGCTGCTGGACCCTGAGACTGCAGTGCTGAAGCTGTGTGACTTTGGAAGGTGAGACGATCTGTTTCTTCAGCTCTCTGTATCCGTGGTGCTGAAGCGCAGGCTACCCATTAACCTGAAGAACATATAGTGGTTAATTCCGTGCTGAAAGGTCAAAATAGTGAAACCTTTTCGGTTGCAAAGTCTTAATCGGGTACGTGGAGGTACAAAAGATGCAACAGAAACAAGAGCGGTGAGGAAAATAAAGAAAATGTGAGACTGGCGTGGGGATTCAAGAGATAAAAATCTACAGGGGAAGTGTGGGGGGCAGGAATCTGGAAGTGATTGGAGAGATTAGAAAGGAATGAGTTGATCAAGCAGCGCTGCAAGACTGTGAATTATGTTAAAGGTCTATTTGGCTTTTCATGGAGCTGTTAGGCTTGGAGAGATCCTCGTTCCTCTGATATTCCCTGAAATGGCTGACCGGCCTTCTTCCTGTTTTGTCAGTGTCAGGGCACTTTCTGCGATAGGTGCAAGAAATGAGATTGCTGGACTACAACATGATGCCTTATGGGTGATGTTGAAATGGCCTGAGAGACCACGAGTCTGTGTGCTGCTGGAGATGTAGCTGCAGTGATACCCTGGCTCCAGGTGTAGCTAAAAGTGATTGGTTGGCAGCTGTGGACAGTTAAGAAAACTGGACAAGAAGCCTGTGTAGGTCAAGTGATTGGCAGTTAGAGCTGATTGGTGCATCTAGAAAAAAAGTTTCAGTTGAAAATGGAGATATTTTGTGTGATGAGCTGGGAAGCAAACAGGGTTTTGCGGTGGAAGGGAAGGAGATGTGGAATGTGGTTCTGTGTGCACAGGGTTACACTGTGGGTTTTGTGGGCTGTTGTTGACTGGGGTCAGAGTCCTGTCAGTGCTATAGGAAAGAGATCCCCTGTCAGTGAGAAAAACACATTCTAATGGCTTTCCTTTGAAGGTTAGTCTCATCACTGCATGAGTGACACAGTCTGAGGAACTGTGAGACAATTGATAGAGGGAAAGAAGGTCTAAAAGAGATAATCGTGTGAATCAGTGGGAAGTTCTCAGTCCCAGGTAGTTAAAAGACGTGGGTTCAGAGAATGAAGAGAGGTAGAAGATACATTAACAGTGAGTTTGGGACATGGACGGGAGTTGGTGAAGTGATGATTGTGAGATAGAACACCTCTATCTCCAGCTCATCGAGGTCAAGGGTGAAGCCACTGGTACAGGAGAAGAATCGTTCTTCTGTGCCTTTTTTTTTTCTGCCCCTAGTTATGGTGAGTAAATGGGAACTGATGGTGGTGATGTCCCTAGTGAGGAGAAACAGAGAAATAATATCGTCACGTGAGAAGGCTGGAAAGAGGTTGGTTGGAAGTATGGTGTCTACTGTGAAGGAAAAGTGAGGAAAGTGAAGTTGGCATTGCTCGCCCATCCTGGCCCTCCGTGGCAAGTTCTCTGACCTGCTGGTCGGAAAGATTGTTGCAAGAAAACACACCTGTGAGACCCAGGTCAGACAGAGTGAAGGGTGCAGGCTGAGGGAACGCGAGAGGGTGCTTGAGGCCCACGAAGCTGTCGTCATGAGGATTGATCGAGTAAAGGGATGTGAAGAAACATCCTGGACCCTGGGATTAAAAGCAACAGGTTGTGAATGGAGGAAGACCCTCAACCAATGGCCTTGTCAATGAGAGATGCTATTTGAGTCTTTGTTTTATCTAGTGTTTTCTACAGTTCTGGTTCTGGTTCACTGTGGTGCTTGTGGTCCCCCTGCAGCAGACGGGCCTTGGCACTGCAGAGCACTGTCTCATCAGAGAGATGATGCTCATTTCCAGTACATATATTAGATGTTCAATGTATTACATTAGACCTGTTTTCTTTAGACTGCTGTCATTATTATTGCAGTGTGCCCCTTTTATAATGACAGAGTTGTCCCATTTTAATTAGCCCTGGAGAAGAGCAGTGGTTCCTTACATTTTCTCATCACATGCATAGGAAGCAGAGAGGTCATAAAGCTGGTCAGTCATTGTAAAACCGCTGCTTTTGCAGCTTTTGATTAGTGTACTAATGTAGAATGAGAGTGTGCCTCTGTCTGGATTGTCCTTTGATGTGCTGTGAAATGATTATCCTGCAGGTTTAGTGATATCAGTACAGAATTTTGTATCTCAGCCGAAGGATATCCTGAGTGAACAGATAGAACAGATCTATTTTTGCTGGCCGTTAAATGAATTTCATCCCGTTATAAAACGAATGTCTCCTATTTTTAAGAACATGGTCTTTTTGAAACCTACAAATTAGCCACAACTTGAAATATGCAATCAAAGTGCAATGCTGTGACCTTTATTCCAGTTTTGTTTTTGTTCCATTTTCCGGTTTATTTAACAGGAGATTCTGATTTACAGAAATAAATAAATGCTGAATTACTGCATTAATCAACTGTGAAAGAAATATAGCACCTTCCAATTTTTGCTTATTTGTTTAGGTTTTTTTTTACCAGAAAACATTGTTTAACATCATTCATTTTATAGACATTGAAAGACTTCCTCAGTTTAATTGATTCCAGAGTATTCATGGAATTGCTCCTTATTTTTCAGTGCAAAGCAGCTGGTCCGAGGAGAACCTAATGTGTCCTACATCTGCTCGCGGTACTACAGGGCTCCAGAGTTGATCTTTGGTGCCACAGATTATACCTCAAGTATAGGTAAGATTATGCAATGCCTTGTGGACTTTTTAGTCACTGTTTTAGTGATTTGAGGTATCTGTATTTTTGAAATAGTGTGGTCAGGAGAATATGATTTAAAGCAGACCCGAAACCATGAAAATAACAAATTGTTCTTTGAGGTTGTGCACAAAATACGTTTAGTTTGTCATATATGCTTTTAATGTCTTTTAACAGTCTTTTTCGGTAAACAAAGTTATGTTATGCTAATATCATTTAATCAAGAAAGGATGATGAAACGTTTTTTTAAATTCAGTGATGGACTGTCTACAGGGCCATTCTCACCTCTGTTCAAAATGTTTGTCAGCTGTCAACTTTCTCTTTAAACAAACTATTAACTTATTATACATGACTGGGTCATTAAATTAGTCACATATAAACCTGTTAGAGAAAACAAGTTAATTGTCCTCCAGAAAAATTGCCATTTATTCCTTCAAATGCCATCCAATCCAAAATTTGAGAAGAACTGTAACCCCTTTATGTGGCTTGTTTCAGTACTGCAAAATAACTGACCAATTAGAACATCCATTTTAAACAATGTACATGCACTATGTACTGACAGTGCTTGTTTTAGTTTATGCTAAAGGCTTCACGCTTGGTTTGTGTTTATAGAGATTGATTTAGACAATCGTCATCATTTCTGCCTCCAGAAATCTCCGCCATTGAATAATGATTGTCCTCGCATTTTATTTGACTACTTGCAGACAAAATCATATTATGCTTATTCCCCTGCATGGGAAACATGGGAGATTAACTATCTCTAGCATTTTAGGTGATGATCGGTTCAATTTAGATTTACTTCTTCCTCTTGTGCTTTTGTATCAGAGGGGGATTTTCAAGAAGAAACATTATTGTAACACAATACAACAACAATAATATGTAGCACTTTTCCAAACTCTTAGATGCAGTCCAGAATAATAAAAACATACAAGACAAACTAAGACTCTCAAGCACAGGTCTTAGTAAAATGGTGAGTTTTTGAGTTTAGATTTAAAAATAGTCAAATAATTTTCCTCTCAAAGGGTCAGAGCAGAGGCATTCAATATAAATGAAGCAGTGACAGAGCAAGCACAGCCACTAACAGTCTGGCATTTAGTTGTAGGTACAGTGAGCAAAGGGCCAGCCTCAGCTGAACAGAGCCTATGGAAAGGAGTGCATACATGTAGAACATCGGAGATATATGATGGAGACAATTTATTTAGAGCCTTGTAAGTCAGTAAGACAATCTTGTATTGAACACGTAAATTTGCTGGCAACTAATGGAATAGCTTAAAGCAACAAAGGGTTTTCGCTCAGTTTCCTAATCTACACACGTCGGTAATGCTTAAAAGATGTTACTGAGGTCATTGCAGAAGTCATTTTATGGACATAATATACGGATTGTTGCAAGTGGCTGAACGTCATACTATAAGATCAGGGTCATGGGAGGTCGACACTAATGCCCTGGCTTCCGTCAAAAAAATGACAAGTGATCGTCTATTAGGAGGCAGTTCTTTACACAAAGGGTGGTGGGGGCCTGGAACAAGCTACTCACCCACATTGTCGGAATTTGCTACTGACCACCATATTCTTATCAGTCAGAATATAAATGAAATTGAGATATGTATAAAGGTAGAAATGGTATTCAAGGGGCACTCCAGCCTTCTTCACAGAAACTGGGACAATCAACTAGGGATGTCAGCAGCAGAAACTGAAATGATAGACATGGTTAATGACTGTTCTCTTGCCCAGACTGTCATAGCTCCCACTTGATGAAACTCCTGTATTGATCTAGTCTTTTCAAACAATCCAGAAAGAGGTGAGGGGACTGCTAGGGGAACTGTGATCATAATGTGGTATGGCTTTGAAATTGTAGAGTTAATAAGTCCAGATCAAAGGTTTACACTTTCTGGAGAGGAGACTTTTTGGAGTCAGTGGAGAATGGATGTAGTCAGTTTAAAATTATTCTGCTTGAAGCACAGAACAGATTTGTCCCAAGAGTAAGTAAATCAAAGACTAGATAGCAGTGGCCCAAATGATTAAGTACTAAAAATATTAAGAGACAGAAAGCACTTTCTAAAATGAAACAAACGAACAAGCTCCAGTTAAATAGAGTATAATGAATTGCAAGCACAAGTAAAATGAATGTCAGGGAAGCCTAGTGATAAAAGAATTTTAAGTGCTTAAATACAGTTCATTTTGAGTATTGAAATCATAAGGGAACTGTAAAGAAGAAAATGTATTGGGATTAGTAATGGGGACGTTCTAGATGTCAGAAGGGAAATGACTGATGTAAAATAGCCAGGATCACACTAAAAGAGACAACTATCCCATCGATGCCCTGCACACTGAGTTCTGTCACAGCATTCTCCATGCGCAAAGAAAAACACCAGACAATGAGTGTAAGGACACTGGTGCCTGGTATCCGACAAGGGTAAGATGGATACTAATGGAGTACAGGCCCAGTGACCTTCCCAGATGGCTTCCCAGAGAGGATGGGTGAAGTGTCCACAACCTGGACGTAGAAATTGGATACAGGGAGACTTGGGTGTCCAGAGAGGACAGACTGTGCTCCCATTATGAGCAGGAAGAAGCAGTGATGGATCTGCACTTCCTGCTGCACTGCAAGAAATATGCATTATATTATTTCCAGGTTTTATATATTATAGAAAATATGTATATAGGTTTGCATAGGTAAAATAGGGGATCATCTGTAGGATGATAAGATGATAAAGAAAAACCAGCATGGTTATAGAAAACTTAGGTAAGCAAGACCTACTTTATTACAGTCTTTGAACAAGTAACAACAGTAATGTGTACAAACAGCATACAGTGTAGTGTATTTAGATTTTAAGGAGGCTTTTCATAAAGGTCTTCATTAAAGATTAATTGTCAAATGGGATGTGATGGGATTGAGAACTGGTTAATGCAGAAAGTACAGATAAGGAGTGAATGCATTGATTGGGATGACATAATTAAGGACCAAGGAATCTGTTCTCAGACCACTGTTCATACTAACATACTGTAGATCAGTGATACAGCTGGTAAACAAGTCAAGACTGCAGGTGATACCAAGATAGGATTAGCAAACACTGTAGAAGCAGCAAAGGAAACCTAACGGTATTTTAGAATTCAGAAAATATAAACATATACAGTATTTTCAGTCTTGAGATTTCCTGAGTGCATCGTGTACAGTCAGACCTTCCAGTCCATAAGACTTGCTTCTGACGTGCTCTTTCTAATCCTGATCAGTGCAATAATAGCCTGATTGATAATAACAGAGACAGTAGATTAACTGAGTTCAATCAGGTCACCTACTGACTCTGAAATTTCCCAAAAATACATGTGCAGCCAGACCTTCATGGAGAGCACACTATGACTCCTTTTTTTAAGGCATTCAGGAACTTCCTTCAGAGCTACTCTAGACATAATTGAGATGTCAAATTGGCTTCCAGAATCTATATTAATGCGTACTTGTAATTGTATCATCATAATTAATTGTACAAATATATACCCAGTCCTGTCTGTGCTCTCTCGGCATTGTCAGAATGTTTGCTTGGGATCTTCAAACTCAGTATTTGTGTTTCCAGCTGCAGTTGTGTTTCTAAGCAGCACTGTTATTTTTCTTTTTCTTTTAAATCACTGAACAGGGTTATCGTACTGGCTCCTTAATTACAACCACCCTTTTCCAGGCTCAGATTAGCTCCAATTAGCCACTGAAAAGCAAATGAGCTAGTTGGGCTTTTTTTAGTTTGTGGGTTTTCTTCCTAGTAAATGAGGAATTTTTTAAAAATCAGTCTACAGATATGTAAATCAGATAAGCATGTTTTCATATTTAAAACTTAGATGCTTAAGGACCCATGGGAAATTCCAAATTGATACTAAATTAACAGGAGTTTCTTGTGGTTAATTTCATCGTATGGTCTTTGGAAATCCCCCCTTGTCTCATTGAAACAAATCGATTTGTGGCATGCAGTACAGAATGGACATGGAGGCTTCTCCTTCGGCATGAAGATTTCTTTTTTTTTCAGTTTTTATTATCTTGTTAATTTTGTTTTGCGTTTTGGGGGATGTCTTTTGTGGAGTTTGCATAACGTGGTAAAAAATAAAAATTCAAATAACATGATAACCTTCTAGTGTGGTTTTAGTTCATATCACATAGGTTTTAATATATCAAATATGTTCTTTTCTGACTACACGCATGTTTCGATAAAAGGTTCTTAAGCCTTGTCTGAATGTGGAAGCAAACCGATAGCCTTTTACTTCTTTATGGTGAGCATCACAGTCACACTGGGCTGTTTTATGGATATTTTATAGCTGCCACTAGAGGTTTTGTGGTTATATAATATCTTACCTTGGCTCTTCAGACATTTCTGTGACTTTCTGCATGATGAAATGGTGCTCAGTGGTAGTCATAGTGACTTATACAAGGACCTCCAAACTAAGTCTTTGTGGAACTACCAGATGACTAAAATAACATTAGAGGATTAAATTAACATAATGAATTTTAACACATTAACGGAGTATGAATAGAAGTTAACACTGAGACGTGTCATTTTTTATATATGTGTGACTGCATCCATTGCTCTTTTTCATTATGGTTTAGGTCATAAATGTTGAGAAACCGTGGCATACACCAGTTCATTGAGTGTTAGAAATCCAATGCATGGGTCCCGTATATTTGATTAAAGAAATCAATGTATGAGCTGGAATTACATCGAATGTATCTAGCCCTGGTTTGAAAGAAACCAGGATACGGTTTTCAACAACATGGCTGAGTGGCGTGTTCCAGACTCGCACAACCTTTTGTGTAAAGATGTGCTTCCTGCTCTTTTTGAAATGGAATTCCATGTAGTTTCCGCTTCTGTCCTCCGGTTCATGTTTCACTGTTCGTTCTGGAGAAATGAGCTGGGTTGATTTTATCAATGCCCGTGAGGATTTTGAATTTTTGTGTCGGGTCCCCTCAGTCCGCTCTGTTCAAGATTAAAATGGTTCGGCTCCTTCACCCTCTCAGTGCGGGACGTTTCCCTCGAGCCCCTGAAATGTAGCTGGTTGCTCTTTCTCTGGACCAAAGCCAAATATTTCTTCCAGTTTGCTCGGTCATACATCGGTCATGGAATATTTCTGATTATTTGTATTTTCCCCTTTGAAACCATGTAGTGCACTAATTGCCAAGCCTTGCTTTTAAAATTCCAGTTGTCTTTCATTGCTTCTTAGACTGGAAGACGTGTTCTGCAGTACTAACCCCAGGGTATGTTTTTCCAACACAGACGTGTGGTCCGCTGGGTGTGTGCTGGCTGAGCTGTTGCTAGGACAGCCCATCTTCCCTGGCGACAGTGGAGTGGATCAGCTGGTGGAGATCATCAAGGTTGGTGTTGCCTCACTGAAGACCTGCCCCGAATTTACGGATCGTCATAAAAAGAGAACTCTTTTAGCCTTAAGCCGCAAGAAGTGGTCGTGAGTAAAATAATTTGCCGCCTCTTCGGTGCTTCTGGAAAGGCTCTTGTCTGGAAACGGCTTTTTACAGTCATCTAGCTGTAAAAGAGTTATTTCAATCCTGCAAGTAACTTCATTGATACTTGTATTTAGTTATTTTACTCACAGAAGCAGAATGGGCTGGAGGCTTTTTTTGAAAGAAGTGACAAGCCTGCAATTTAAAGAGACAGGACTTTTTAAGGGATATGCCAGAGAGCTACCTAAAGCAGGAGAGAGGAGCACTTTGTAAGGCATGGGCTGAAGGGTGAGATGAGTGCTCTGGCACAGTTAGAGTTAATGTGCTATGATTATTCAGACCAAGTCAACAAAATTGTCTTTCCAGTTTTATTTTCTTTTGAGTTACTTTTTTCCATCAATATGGAAATAAAGGTGCACTACAAAGACTTGAAGTGTACAACAAAGGTATGATACTGTACTAAAGCATTTGCAAACAAAAGAAACTAATCTGTGTGTAGATACATGCTTATAGAATTGGAAATAATTGTAACCTTCAGATAAAGTGGCTGTATAATGAAATTATATTGTAATTATAGACAGAAAAGTGAGTACAGCTCATACACTAAACACTTGGTTTAACAAGCTTGAACATAGAATCTGCAAAAGAGGAATTTTGTTTGTCAAAATTAGAAATACTGGGCTTTCCCCGCAATAACAGATACAATAAAATGCTCCAGTATTAAAACGATAAATGGCACCTTTGTACAGCATACAAGTAATTGTTATAGGATGTAACGATATTTCGTATTACAGTGGAAAGGGAATAATATTTTGTGAGAATGTTTGTCAGAGTTCCACCTATTGTCTGTTGTTTGTACCACAGTTCAGGTAGGGAAAGTTAACTCACAAAGTGAGATGGTCCCTATTGTGGAAGTAACTCTGCTTGTGTCTCGTATGCTTTAGCAAATCTTATACACTATATTTACAACACTTGAAATAAATATCGTGTATAGTGTATATACTGCATGATTTTTTTTTCTCATATGATAGTGTTTTGTGCCTGAAAGAACAAACCCTAGGATTTGATATGTGAGCTCTTTTGCTTTACTCAGAGATTGACATCTCATTTTCATGCCTCCATGAAAATTATCATTGGAAAACTAAAATGTTGTTACAAGTATCTTATAGCACAGCTCATTCATGCTGTCCGGTTGCTCCTTCTCTTCTGTGCCCCTGGGGTCTTGCCCGTAAAGCCTTGTGGATGTTGTTAGAGAGAGTTTGTGAAGGCCGTGGCGTGTGCGGTTGTCCCATCAGCCTCTTCCTGTCCCGGGCTGCTTCTGTCTCTACTGGTTGTGTACTTGGGGCCGTTGTCATGCTGGTAGATGAATCCCTGTCCAGTCAGATGCTCTCATGAGGGAGTAGCATGGTGGATCAGAGTGAGCACCTGTGTGCACATTGAGACCATTGTGTGTTACAGGTCTCACAGAAGCATTAACACCAGTTTTTGCTGGTGGGAGATTCATAAGATTCACCTGATAAGTGAGGAGCTTGACACATTGGGATAGTTTTTCTTAGCAGTAGCAGTTTGTGGAGCTCTTTTCATGGTGGCCCTGGAAGAAATATGACCTGTCTGTAGAAGTAGAATTTTTATTTGCTTAATGTCAGGTATCATTTCTTTCCCAGGGAACCATTTCATTCTCTAGAATTATAAAATCATACGTACCGTTGCTTACACTCGTAGGGAGATCATTTTTTATGTAAGATTTTTCTGTCATTATATATCTGCTTTCTCCTCTGTTCCTGGATTTTTTCCCCAATATTGTCTTTACATTTAGATGTTAATTAAACAAGCTGGTTGAAATTAAATGCCATGCACTTTACAGCAGTTAACAGCAGTTTATGTCCTAAAGCTCAAACAAACACACCACGGCCTGATTCTGGCTCACCTCAATCTGTGTGAACTCTCCAGGTCTGTCTGAAGAGTTATAACATTTACTGCTGCACTGCAAAAGCCTGAAAGGACGCGATGATTTAATCAGTGGACAAATCCCTACTCCCCACCCTGTCCGTGGAGATAAGCCTAGCTATCTTGGACAAGCATCTTCTTTTTCAGTAAATTATTATCTTGATAAGCAGGGAAATGCTACCCTGTAATTATGGACATACTGTAGGCAGGAAGGGCTTGGAAACGTGGCATTTAAAACTTGCAGGCATTTTTGGGGACTGCTAATGCCTGTAGGAAAACACAAATTGCATCAAGTGTAATTTTTTTTGCTTGACTTATATTCAGTACTTGGACAACTCTGTGACACCTTACTGAGTCATAAGTTTCAGGATTATGAGGTCAAAGGTGAATTTTAAGACGATAAGTACAATTCCTTTTCTAATTCTGTATTTGGTGGCTCAGGATTGAATTTCATCTGCCAAAAGAAACAACTGTTATTATATAGCTTGACAGGAGATGTGCTCAGTTGGTGGTACACTGGTGGTGACTAGTTCCTGAGTGCAATATCTCAGGCCTTATATGTGAAAGGGTTTCTAAATGGGGATGGGCTGTTTCTGAAATGTCCTTGCCTTTGCTGTGATTGAGCAGTGAGCAAACAGCTGTGAATTGGGAATATGTCTGCAGCACTCCTGCAGTGCCAGAATGATGCACCAGTTTACATGCACTGAATATTTTCGGATATTTTCTCCCATCTTTTCAACCAGATTAGATACTGGTTCTTCTAATTCATCTACAAATAAGCATATGATGCATGCCAAGGTTACAGTGGTCCATTAAAACCATTAGGTTAAGCTTTTCTTCTTTCAGGCTGCCATCACAGGAGACGGCAAACTAAAATCTTAGGGCCCTTTCGACTGATCTAGGCTGGCAGCCTCTGTGTCTGAAGCAGGCACTTTTAATCTCTCTGCTGGAGTTCTGCAGCTCAGCCCAGGAGAAATCCATTTCAGTGGAATTGTCCGTGCAGACCCTTCTTTTATGGTTTTTTTTTCACATAAGCATTAACTACTGTTAAGTGAGAGAACTGCAAGATGTGATGTCATGTGCCATTGCTGACTGCTGACAGGGCCTCTGTTTGTGTGCTGTGCAGGTTCTAGGGACACCAACAAGGGAGCAGATTCGAGAGATGAATCCCAATTACACCGAGTTCAAATTCCCCCAGATTAAGGCGCACCCCTGGACTAAGGTGAGTCAACAGGTACTGGATCACAAATTTTCTACTTTTAGCAAGCTGTTTTTTCACTTTGTGCCTTAACGTAATCTGCTTGGCTTTGCACTAGCTGCTTGTCTTTTGTGTTTTGTACATTTTTGTATTCTGTGATAGAAACGTTGTGACCATTGAAGTGCCCATTAAACAAAGCTTGTCAGAAGCTAGTGTCTGTATTCCATTACACACATGCTAGTTTTTGTCACTTATCATCATTATCAATCTTTATATGTACGGGAGTAGGCTTGGGGTCTGAATGGGTGTACATTTTTCAAAAACCGCTGGTCTTCTTTTAAGTCTTTTACTTTTGTAGGAGCACGTTCGATGTGCAGACAAAATATTCTGGGCTAGTGGAGCAGATCTGCCTTATTTGAAAAGAAAAACTGTTGTGCTACCAAAACATACACCAGCAGCATTACCTCATGGCCTGTCCTAGTCAGTAAGGTTCTGAAAGGACAACCAGGGTGCTGCCGTAAGAGGTGTCTGTGGACCATCAAGTGGCACTGTGTCCTCTGGACCAGAGTGTTCAAACTAACTCTCCATTGTGCTGACCAGGGACACTGTGCTGCAATCCAGCGGATGAGACTTTAAACTGAAGCCCCTACTGCTTGGCTATTAAAGATCTGAAAGCACTGTAAGAATAGAATTGTAAACCTTGACGTCCTGGATAAATTTCAGTCTGATTTGCTCTTTAGTAAGGCTGCTAGTGCAGAATGATTTTTGAGCATCACCCAGGTGGGATCTGCACCTCAGTGGAGGAAGAAATGGGTCCCCATCTAAGTGTAAAGTGCTTTGGGATGACAAGTGCTGTACAGATGTAAGGAATTACTAATCATTAGCAGAATTATGGAGTATGTACTATTCCAGAGGTTTCCAACTGGTGTGCCATCAGGCTTGAATAGCTGTCTGGAAAGTCACAGCCAAAGAAATAGTCACGGCCGGCAGCCATATCACCCTGCAACTCACAATTGGCAACCCA